CGCGCACACACACACACTATATATATATAATTTTATTAAAATATTTGATTGGATACCATCTCTATTTAAAATATTCATATAAATAAATAAAACAAACCTCTTATTTTTTTAAAAAAATTTAATTTATCTGTGAAATCAAATAATGATTTATGCTCTGCTAGAAATTAAATTTAAACATGCATTTCAGAGTAAGATTTTGTAATTTGATGTTTTGAAAAATACCTTTGATTTATTTTCAAAATATTGTTGAAAATTTTTTATGGAATGTTTATGCTTGAAACCAATAAAGTTTTATTTTTTGTAGATTTCAAATATAGATAAAAGAGACTTGAAAACTTTTTAGAGAGTTTCTTTAAAAGCTTGTCTTGAAAAAACTATTGTACCTCCAAGAAGAATTGCTTCTTATGTATATGGTGATGCCTTTTATTTATAGAGATTTATAGGGGCACTCAAGTATTTTATTAATATCACATAATATTATTTTATTGGTAGATTTTTATTTATAAAATCTTGTTTTTATGATAAATTTTTTTAAATATCTCATCTCATCTGTTAACTTTTTATTGGTAAAAAAATATATAAAAAACCTGTTTATTTTTCATATAATTTATTTCAGTTTTAATTTATTTTTTATGTAAAAATAAAATAAAAATTAAACATGCAAAATTTTGATTGGTTGATTTTTTTATGTTTCTAGACATGTCCCTGTTTCATCCTTGATTTCATAGGAAATAAATACCTTAATTTTTAACAGACCTCCCATCCCTAGTTCAATTAGAAATTACTGACGAAACAATCTTCATATTTATTTTTTTGGAAAATTACCGATAAAAAATTTTCATTAATAGTTTTGCCGGAAATTACCTATAAAATAATTTTCATGTTGTTTTCTTTGAAAATCTTCAAATATTAATTATTCATGTGTATTATTAGAGAATTACTTACAAGCATTACTCACTATAAAAAGTTTCTTCTTTACTTGTTGATAGGAATTTAGTGACGTTCTTTTCCTCTCAAATCGGCTTGTTTGTCTCCAAAGTCTTCCAAACAGTATACCATGAGCAGACTTGTGTGGTATTCTGCACATGTGGGTCAAGTTGAATGGGGAAAAAATTCAGTCTTCTAGTGTTTCTTCTGAGGTATCTAATCAGTAGATAAATTGTTTGGAACTTATGATACTAGGGTTATAATTGAAAGAAATGGGAGGTCAGCGGTTTAGGGACTTGGAAGGAAATTTACCTAAAAAATGAAGGGAAATAAAAGGGGCAAATATAACTGAAAATTTCTACTTTTCATTCTTGCAGGAGGTGAAAGGTGGCGATTTACACGGTAAGGCACTACGGACATCTTTCTTACATCCTAAAAAAAAAAAAAACAATTTCCAACGATGATTTGTTGTCTATCTTCCTCCTAGAGAAGGCTACGAAGGTTAATTTGTGACTCGTCCAGAGTTTTCTTTCTTCTACTCAGAGTCAGAGTCTATATTTCCCATGGCCTTCAACCCTCTTGGCCTCTGCATGGAAACGAATGAGATGCTGTGTCATGGACACATTAAATAACAATAGAGCAACATTCATGCGGGCGTGAAAGTAAATATTGTTCATGCATTAGAGACTTTAGAGTACCTTCTTGGTGATCTTCTTCTCTCTGACTTCATAACGTTCTAGTGTCAAATCACATAGCCATGCTCCGGGACTCACAAGCTATGCAACAATTTTCAATAACCAAAACCAGAGTCAGATTAAGTTCCCTCAAGAAAACTGACAACCCAATACACCTCTCTCTCAAAAAAAAAAAAAAGCACCATTTTTAACGCGATACTGCCATTCCCCCTTCCCCTTTTAATTATCAATAGTAAAATAAATAAATAAATAATCGGATCAAGGAATGATAATTTGCCCCCAAAGTAAACATTATTCCCGGAATATCACACGATACAATAATATCATAGGCATTTTGCGGTCCAAGGTGAGAGAAGAATCAAGTAACCACCATAATAATAAACCACGGAATAAATTAAAGTGGGTATTTGGCAAGGAACCGTTGGTTCATGCTACTATTGTATTGCACATTTGATGACAAGCATGGCCGTGATGGTAGTTGATGATGGTAATTGAGAATATTTTTGTTTAGAAATGTTTTAATATAAAAATATTTTATTTTTTAAAAATTATTTTAAATATTCAAATAATATGATAACATAAAAAGAAATTCATTTTAAATAAAAAAGAAATTCAAAATTTTTAACATCACAAACCACGTTTCCAAATCCTCAGCCTACTACACCTTGGCACCATGAGAGTCGTCGCAAGTAATCTATTTGTTTATGAAAATAAGATTTCTCAAACCAGAGAGATGCTAGCTAACAAACTTAGGTCATTATTAGTAGGTAGGCAAACATCCACGGTTTGACTGACACGTACAACAAGAGCTGCTCTCACTTGGTCACCACATCACACGCTTTCCTAGCTTTTTCAGCCTAAGAAAAACCAAGGCCACAAAGCAGACCAAAATCACGTCAACCCACACTCCTCCCCGCTCAAACCCTAACTTTCAATCGACGGGATCCTTAAAAAATCCTTTTTCCTTGCGTGTTACTTTTCAAAATAAAAATCATATAAAAATAAAAATAAAAATAATATTTTTATTTTTAAAATTTATTTTTAATACCAAACCAATAAAAAAATAAAAACCTAATTTAAAAAAATAAAAAATGTTTAAAAACTTTAACAGGGAAAAAAAAAAAACACTAAAGTAATCACATCTGCGTTATAAATGTTCGTACCTCCCTCTAAATTCAATCACTTTTCTCCAATTCTATCGTTTGCAAAGTTATCCAAGATGTGTCTATTTGAATCCCATTATAATAAATTAGCATACAAATCAGTGAATGAGACAGTAGATTATTATTGATCATCTAAAATAGTTATGGGGATGTTTTACTTTCCTAATCTTCAAATAATTTAGAATCTAATCAAAGATCGAGGAAAAATTCAAATAAAAAGGAAAGGAAGGAGAAGGGTCTTACATTGAGGGTGCGCTGAATGAATTTGGCTCTCTTTTTGGGTCTTTGAGGCAACTTGGACCCTTTAAAGAGAAAGAAATCTTCTTCTTTCTCTTTATTAGTTAAAGCAATAACAAACTTTGGTGGCCAAACTGGTGGTGGTGCTTCAGAAGATGACGCTTCTCCTTTCTTGGTATCCGAAGATGCCGCTGATTTGTTATTGTTATGATTCTCATGGTTGTTGCTGCTATTGTGGTGGTGGTGGCGGGTATGGTTGTTACTTCTCTTATCGTGCGCACCCTTGTCTGGTGAAGCAATCCTACCCAGACCACCACCGTTATTCTGGCCTCCTCTCATGGCACTTGAATTCTCCGAATTCCTATAGAATTAACAGCACAAATACAGAACAAACAGCATCAAACAAACAAAATTAGATCATGTGACATGACTCGGAAATATGATAAAAGTGACACCCCCCATCTGAAGTGTGTTTTTTAATGTAAAGTAGTGAAAAAATAATTTTTTTCAAAAAAAAAAAGTGGAGAGATTTGAAGTGGGTAATTATGAAATTACGAGAATAACCTTTGGGGAATTTTGATTGATCTAAGATCGGTGGGCAGGGACTGGCTAGAATCTCGACCGGTTTTGCGTAGAAAATGGGGTTTGTGGGTGAGATTTGACTGTTGTGGGCTATATAGGATTTGAAAGGAGGGGTTATGCTAGCAGGAGGTGTTTTCTCATATTTTTGCTCTTCGTTCATGAAAAGTTTTAGATATTTGAGGGGGGAGAGAGAGAGCGGTGGAGATTCTATGTCTATTCGTGTTCTAATCCAACGTGAACAGCTGGTCTTTTTAGCTGGTTTTGTGGCCGTTGGATTTTGTTTTTGCTCTTTCATAGGGTTTAAGAAGACGTTTTCTACGGACACTAGTTGGAATGTGGGATAAAGTGGACCAGATTCCTGATCATTTTATGTGAAATCGGACGGTGACTAGTGGTTTTAAGAAAAAAAACAAAAAAATGGCGAGAGCTATACTCGTCATATCCCGTTTTGAATGGCGGTCAAACCAGGTACGGGTTGAAATTTATTGTTTCATTTAAAATTAATTTTTTTATATTTTAATATTATTTTGATATGTTAATATTAAAAATAAATTTTAAAAAATATTAAATAAAAAATACTTTAAAGAATAACAATCGGAAACTGCAATTAAGCCAGCCACAAACCAACTAGAAACTGCAATCGGAAAAGTCGGATCTAATTCGGTCCCTCTCTTCCTTTTTCTTTTTTATTCTGTATGCCTTCTGGACCAAATAATTCCTTATGGAAGCATACAATTCGTGTCATATTTCTGAAGTTTCCATGCAAGTAATTCCTCAAATCATAAACCCTTGCCTGTCTGTTTAAAATCAAATGTTTTTAACAAGTCAGTCACTACTCACTACTCACTACTCGCCAGCCAAGTCAATTCCCCCCTTTAAGAACTCCGAACAAAATCATTAAAATTAGCGAAGAGCAGCCTAGACCTCAATTTTGACTGGGAAGAAGGCGCTTTCATGCACTTACCATGAGCGAACGGCTACAAAGAAGGCGCTTTCTTGCCCTTCTGAGCCATTCACATGCGCCACCTGACCATTCGGGAAGTGGACAAATATAAGCCTCATATAATACTTTACTTAACCAAGAAAAATATTTGCTTGATCTTTTAAAGAATTTGATCTAACCTCTAAACCATCTGTTACATTAATTTAATGTAGTGTTTTAAAATATGGTATAAATTATAATTTTTTATTTTATATAAAAATTTTTATGTTTTAAGATCATTTTAATATATTAATATTAAAAATAATTTTTTAAAAATAAAAAATAATTTTAATATATTTTTAAATAAAAAATATTTTAAATTATTATTACTACCCTAATCTCAAACACTGTATCTCAAACACAATCTAAAATATCAAGTCGATTATGAAGACTGAAATACTTTATGCGGCCCGTATATTTGCCATCACCAGGCCAGTCAGGCAAGGTGTCGATCCAAAGAGTAAATGCACCAGTAATGTGTGGCATTGTCCATTTCTATAACAGTCATCCCCACTCGACCTAAAAAAAATAGTTTAAGTAGTTAGATTTTAGAATTTATTTTATAATAATAATGGGTTTTAATTTTTTTAAGGTTATTAAAAATTTATATAATTATTAATTTCAAAATTTATAAATTAATCAAGTTATATTTAAACTGATAAAAAACTCAAGTTAATAATAAATAAATAAAAAAGAATATCAGACTCGTACCCTTATCCCTACAGTAAATATGCTGAAGTATTTGCGCTCGAAAGTCACAGAACTTCATATTGTGCTGATCATCAGAGCAAGGTAGAGATAAGGTAAGGTGTCGAGTCCAATTAAGATCCAACCATAGAGAGGTGACAGCAAATTTGTTGGTGCATTTAAGAAAATGCCGCCGCTTGAGTCACAGGCAGAGGTGATTTTTAATATATATTTTTATTATAATTTAATTATTTTGATGAATAATTGCTACTGCACTGTTAAATATCCTAAAAAAATACAGCACTTTAAACATAGACCCCATTCAACTATTCCACGATAACGTCTCCAAAAAACTTCACTAAAGTCCCAAATCTCCCTAAGAATACTCGAGGTGAAAAATTAGTTTATTAAGTGTGTAAAGAGTTCTTTTAAGTGTTGGGGTTATCGAGGTGTTTAAAGTGTGTGTGTATATATATATATATATTCAAGTGAAAAAATAATTAAAAATAAATTTTTAGAATCTAAAACCTAGGAGCCTAACTTTCCGCCCAATTTGATCGCTGGAATCCTCACATATAAACTAAGCATTTTTATTCGGAAAAAAAAATTATAGTCATGAGGTATCCTTTGATTTCATTTTTTTAATTTTAATTAAAATTTATTAAAAATAAAATAAAATATATTATATTATATTTAAAATATTAGTTTATTAAATATCATTTAATTTTATCTATATTTTCAAATAAAATTATTGTATTTTTTGGTAATATCAATAATTATTTTATTTATTATTATTTGTGAACCTAATATGCAATTTTAAAAAAATTTATAGTCATGAATAACATTAAAATAAAACTTATATTTTTATCTTTTTAATAAAAAAATATTTTACATAGTTTTCTCAAATTAATTATTCTTTTCTTCTTCTTCAATTGCGTACAAAGACATGATTTTCAATGTTTTTTGTTTTTATCAAAATCTACTTTTCATATCATGATAATATTTTTATTTAAAAAACTATACTTCTAATTAAGGGAAAAAACCATGGTTTTATTAAAAGAAATTAAAAAAAGTTTTGATGAAAGAGATACATTTTTCTAATTATTTTAAATTATGAAATCTTTATTAAAAAATCATTTTAGTTGCCTTTAGTTTTAATTCAAAAAATATGCTACTAGTAAATACATATTTTGGTAAAAAACAATCCGTGTATGAGAAATAAAAAAAAATTCTTTACAGTTTAAGTAGTAGCTTTTATACAGATATATATTTTAATTAAAAAATTAAAAAAATAAAAACTTGCGAATAAACAACTAGTATTAACTAAAAAAATATCTCATGTAACCTTTGAAGGGAAGGTGAAAAATACCTAGACAACTCATGAACCACGTCCCTAAATAAAACAAGTGACTAACACGACCCAAAAGCATCGCGGGCCCCGGCCACAACCCGATCCGTGTTCCTCCACCACTTCCCACAACCTCAAATAATCAACACGGCACCACCCCCACCACATAAGCTCAAAATTTCCTCCATCACATCAAGTAAAAGTAAAAAAGTTCATGTTATATTCACGAGCTGCATGATCAAAGGGATAGATTCGTACCTTAAAATCCGCTGAGGGGGCAGCGGAGGAGGCGGAGACAGACGTTGACGGAGATTAGAATATCCGTTGCTGTGATTGCTATTATTATATTTGTGCTGCTCGGGTGATACCAAGCACTGTCTTTATCTTTATTATCAGCTCTAACAACCCGACGGTCCACACGAACTGTTGTCTTATGAACCGGGGTGGTCGAAACGTCCTTGACTTGGACTTTCATGTACCTGAGCCGCTTCCGGTTCCCCCACTGCAAGACAAGATCAGACGACGTCGTTTGCCCATTGGGATCTAAGCTGGTTCTCTGGGCACTGTTGTTGGTGGTGGTGGTGTTGCTCATGCTACCATTATTGGTGCTCCTCAACGAGTCCTTTTCCATTTACTCTTCTACACCTGTCCCATCCCACCAATAATAAAAACAAAAAAGATAAAGCTAACTTTGCAACTTTCACAAAATTCAAATAAAAAGAAGCTGGACCTGGCTTGCGAGAAATAAAAGACATCAAGGGAAAATAAAAGAGAAAAAAAAAAAACCCGGTGTAGATGTGAATCTGACGGCAAGGATTATTCAAGAAAAACATAAATGAGCTGTGGCCGTGAGATTGGCATCTCTTATCAGAAGAAATGTAAGAGATGGATTCAATCTAGAAACGGATCTATGACATTTAAAAAAATTTATCCGCGTGGAGAAATAGAGAACAACACAAGAAATTCCTCAAAAGGGGCATGGTGCTTTTATTTGCAGAGAAAAAATCAGAAGAAGAAAATTCTATGAAAGTGTCGAGACTCCTCAAAGTACAAAATCGAACTCGTTTTTTGAGTAGTTTGTTTTGGCCCGTAGGTTTCCATGTACCATAAACAGAGATCATTGACTGAGAAAATGATAACAAGAATGAGAATTGCAGGGGGGAGCTGCTTCTCTTGATTGAAGAAAGTTCATTGCCCAAAATCAGAGAGAAAGGAGGAACGCGTCGAGAACAATTGATAACTACAATGTTAATCAGAATGTGACTCAAGAAAGGATTTTTCACAGAGAAAGATTTGGGCATGAAGAGAAGGAGAATCTCAAGCAGAATCCATAGAGGGTGAGAGAGCAATTGAGGACAAAATCGATGCTTTACCCGGTACCTTCAAATTTGTTGAATTGATTCTCAATCGAGTTGAATACCGCAGAAAATGATCGTTCTTGGAACACTGTAGACTGCGGGAGAGCAAAAGCAGAGAACTCAGTTGCTGCTTTATTTTATAACAGGGGAGAGGGAGAGTCGCAAAGTAAATTGCAATTTAGGAAACTGTCAATCTTGAGAGTTAAACTGCAAAATCAAAACCCGGATTCTCATACAGATATCATTCAGATTTTGACGAAACGACTCTTATGACATTTCAAAGGTCTTTTCATGTCAGATTCCAATCTCTGTATATCAAAAAATCTGATTTAAATTGTATCCTCTAACAGTACACTCTGTCAGGAAATCCTCCAAATCCGCTCTGAAACTTCTTGTATCTTTCCCAATGTGCCTGCAAAACAAAGAACAAAAACAAACTCACGTTTATTTGAGAAAATTAGCCAGAAAAGACATCCACAGAAATCGAATTGTGTCTCAAATTCTGAACCTGAACCTGTAAGTAATAAAACACAGCTCCGATACCTTCTCTCTATAAAACTCAATCAACCGAAGCCAATCTTCAAAATCAGAATCCAGCGTGCAACTCCTTCCTTGTGAAAAAAACACTTTCAAATCACTATATATGTGCCTGTAAAACAAAGAATCCAACAAATTATCTACCACGTTTCTAGACTCTATCATGCAACGCTAATACAAAATCAGATTACGTTTTCTCAATCACACCTATAAATCTGTCTTCTTAGGAGTTACAGATCCTCAACATTTATCCAGTTCTCTCCAATCTCATTCAAAATCCCATGTTTGGTTAGCGAGAAAGAGAGGAGAATTGCAAGAGATTTGGCTCTGAAAACTGTGAAGAAGAGCCAACCAATACTACAGAAAGCTGCTTCTCTTCTTCTTTAGTAAAACGAAACAAATGCTCTCTCTCTTCCCCTTCCAAACCCAGAGTTTTATACAACCCCCAGGTTAGATCCAACAATGAATAAATTGGGCTCACGGTGCTTTCTAGTCTAACGGAATCGTGAGAGACGTGGTGTTGTTTTTCTCTTTTGTTAAATCAGAACTAATAATTTAATTGTTTTGTTATTTTATTTAGCTGTGGTCAGCCAATCATGGTTAATTTGAAACAACCTATGATATTTAGTTCCTGTTCGGTAATGTACCAGATTTTCTTTATACTTCGGGTTATACCAGAATAAATATATAGTAAGATGCTACAAGGTGACTTTGAATGGTGTTATTTTTTCGTTATAGTTTATTAATTAGATATGCTACTCATGTTTTACTGAAGGTTGAGTTAATTTTTAATATAAAAAAAGTGTTAGGCTAAAAAAAATTAATTTTTGAGTTAGTTTAACTAGTAATTTAAATAATATGAAAAAACAACAATAAATAAACTAATAAAAAATAAAAAAACAAGATAAAAAATCACATTTAAGTTTATCCAAATTATCAAATAACCGTATCATCTAATTGAAGAAAAACCTGATAAATAACAAGTTAATGAGGAAAAAGAAACCTAGATTACTAGCTAAAAGCGTTATGTGAAGTGACTAGTTTCATAAAATGAACTATAATTGGTCTAAATTACATAGCTAAGGTAATATTCTTTTCAAGAACATTATTAGAAAACAAAAGGTAGAAACTTAGAAAAAATCAAAAATAATATAAATCTAGAAATAACACTAAAACTCATAAAAATTATCTAAACTTGCAACCAATGTTTAAACATGTTCCCATAATTGTCTTATATCATACAATAAAACCCAAAAAAATAATTAAAAGGAAAACATAAAACATATTTTACAGTATCTAAAACCACTAAAACATCTATTTCTATGCATAGGAATTGTGTTACATTGATTATCTTTCACATTCTTAACCATAGATAACATGCATTTGGTTTAGACAAGCCCAACAAAACACTAATAATAGTATAAAAACAACAAAAACAAAACAACAACCATGCTTTAAAATATGCTACCATAAATACTCTAATGACTATCTTGAATATCAAAACATTCAATCAAATATCTCAAACTAGCATTTTTTTAACTCAGAAATAAAACTAAACATCCAAACTAAACTTTGAACAATACTTACAACACACATATGCATATTAAAACATGGCACGGTTAAATATAAAAAACAAATATTCATTGTATTTAAACTAACAAAAAGTTTTAAGAGAATGCATAACGAACACTCAATGTAGAAAATAACAATGAAAATATAATGGAAAGGAAGGATATGTGCTTATTAAACTACACATTTTCATTGAAGTTGCAAGCTTACCTTATCTAAAGATGTTATCTTATTGGTATCTTTTCTTGAGTTGTGATGATGTGTGTGGTAGTGTAGTTGCATGTTTAAGAGTGAGTAAAGAGCTTGGTAACAATAGTGATGATGAATGGTTCAAAGGGTAATATTTAGTTTTACCCTTTATTTCTCTCATCTTCCCCTCCTCTTTCATAGCCTTTTGCATGAGTTTCTAAAGGGCCGTGAAGACCTTTTTAGGAGCCATGGTTAAACCATTCTCTCCCCTTAATGTAGAAGAGTCAATCCAAGCTATTTATAGAGGCTAAGGGTCAGTCTTTGTAATTTTTCAGAGATGACAAAAGAGGGTACACTTACAAGTATGGCTGGTTGGGGCATATGTTTTGACTTTTTATAACAATGTCTTTAGGGTAACAAAAGAACTTTTGTTTTGTCTAGGTAGGAGTACAACATGCAAGGTGTGAGGGGGTACATTCATTGTCTTGTTTGGGAAAAAGATAAAGGTGATTTAAGCTTGGGATGCGGTAATAGAACCAGCCTTTTTGAGATCTCTAAGGAAGAAAAAGATATGCAATCACTAGACAACAAGTCATCTAATCTTCTTTTTATTTTTTATTATTTAATTTTGAATTGATCAAAATGACATCATTTTTTAATCAAAACCACATGTTTTGGCCAAAATATATGATTTCATTTAAATAAAATTACATTGTTTTAATAACCTATGGCTAATTAGGGTCTAATGATTGGGGTTTGACTAAAAATCAATTTAGTCTCTGATATCTTGATTTCTGTTAATTGCACCTGCAATTACCTTATATATTTCAATTTCATGCAATTGGATCCCTACCAAACTCAAATACCAACCTTAAAGTTCAACATTTTTTATTTATTTATTTTGATCATTGGTTTATGATTTATGTAAATTGATCTTTAATTGACCATTTAACTTTTATTTTTTTTTAATTTGGCCCCCTTGATTTTGTTGCTTTTAATCCCTGAAGTCTCGTGTGTTTTACAAGTTGGTCCTTGGTTTTGAATCTCTTTAATTTGACTTTTAATTGACCACTAAACTTTGATTTTCTTATGATTTTGTAATTGAGTTTGAAAATTTTAAATTTTATCCTTTAAAATTTCAATCTTTTTAATTAAATCCAAATTAAGCTTTCAAGTTTAAGTTTTCACTAATTAAGTTCTTAATAAATTTAATTTAATTCATTAAAAGTCGAACTAAGTCCTTGCATTTAATTAAATCTTTTAATTTGATCTAAATTAATTCTTAATCTTAATCAAACGTTTAATTAGACCCATAATTAAATCAAATTGGCTTATTGAAAGAGTAATTAAGCCCTTAAATTTATTTTTTATACATATTCATCTAATAATTATTTAATTTGACCTTGAATTTGCGTTGTCCTTCAATCTTAGAAATAATGAGGATACAATTGGGTTTCCAATTCTGTCCAAAATTTCAGCTTAGTTTTTCCATATATTTGAAACCCTTCTCAACCTGTTTTTGCTAAAATTTGAATCTTTTTTTTTGTTTTTTTTCATTTAAAAATAAAATTGTATTTTGATGGGGAACTTAAAATTGAGTTCTGACATTTAATATAGAGAAAAGTGCAAAATGTGCCATTACTTAATTGATAAATATGTTGTGTCCTTGCAACTTGTCTAGTTCAAGTTTAAATTTGTAACACTTGAAATTTATTTGAAAAAAAAAATTCAATAGTTATGATCATTTCTCCCTTTACAAATAAATATGGAAATTTTGTGATGTGGAGATTTAAAATGGCACAAGCAATAAATAGCACTAGTTATTTGGCTCATGCTTTACTGGAGGTTGAATATTTTTTTCCAAAAAAAATAAACATATATGCTTTTTGGACATTTTTTTCTTACATAAAAAATCTTATGCATGCTTCTAATTAAATAAATCAAGAATTATCTATATCAATAAGTAAAAAAAAGGTCATGAACGATGACTAAATATGTATCTTGAAAAGTTGAGAGGTGGATGTAAATCAAAATATTTGATCTAGCAACACGATTTATTTATGTAATTGTGTTAAATAATTATTTATTAAAATAATTATTTTTTATTTAATAAAATGATAGTAGAAATAAATAAACACTTAAAAAAATATATTTTGCAAAGTTGGATTACAAATACCATTAAAAAAGAAATATTTTTATTCTTAAAAATATAGCTAAATGAATTAGAAGAATATTTTTTAAAATTAAATACAAAAAAATAATAATTATAAAACAACCATTATTTTAAAAAAGTTATATACAAAAAATAAACAATAAGAGAGAAAGGGTATTAGTTCAAAAAAATATATATTTAAAAAATATTTAAAAACACAAATATAAAAAACATGTTTTTACTTTATTTTAAAAAAGGCAAGATGACCAAAAAAAAAAAGAAGAGGCTAGACACCTAGCTTATTCAGGAAGATCGCACATGTGTGCCCTAGTATTTTTAAAATGTATTGTACCTACATATTTTTTTGTTTTAAAAAAGTTTGATAATGTGTTATTCGATTTTATCTAGATTTTGGTTATTGTAATGGTTGAAAAATCAAGGTCAAAATTCTTTTAACTCAAAAATTTATTTTTAAAAATCTAGAAAACACCATAATAACCCTAATAAATCCTTCTATAGCTTCAAAAACCAGAAAAATCATCCACAAACCCGAAATCAACATATAACTAAAATTGTTTATGAGTTCATATCTGACTTTTTAGGCACATTCAATATAAAGAAACATATAAGTTGAATTCACCTTATCAAATAAAACTATTTGACAATAAATTTGATCATTTTAGTGGTCAGAATTGATGATCTGTTTCTCTCTTCTCTCAAATTAGGAACAAAAAAGAAGAAGAAATAAACTTTTATATCAAAATTTAATAAGAAACATATTAAGGGACTAGATAGGTATAATTTGTAAAGTTTAAGGTCCAAATTAAACTTTTTTTTGAACTTTGAAACTATCACCTACTTGTGGTGCCTTTTCTTCTTTGGTCCCTTATCTTTTAATTTTTTTTCTTAGTCGACAAATTTGATTCAATTATCCTTGAATTTAACCCAAAAGAATGCAATTGATAAAAAAATAATGTTTGAGGATTAAAATGAAAAAAAATATACAAAAATTTTAAATAGCAAGTCCACTATAAAATATAAGAGGAAGAACAACGTACATGTGCATAGTGTTTTGGCCACACCTTATATATATAAAGGCCTATGCTTCATGTGGCATTGTGGTCCCACAATATTTTTGAAAAATTATGAATTATTTTCTAGCTTAATTTTGTTTTTGAATCTTTTTGATATATTGATATTAAAAATAAATTTTGTAAATATATTTCTAAGTGAAAACACTTTAAAATACAATCTTTATTATACTGTTAAGCTAAAAGTAAGCATCAATCCCTAATAAAATGTTTTGAAGATGACATGGTATCCTTAAATTATATATGTTTGGTTGTTAATGGACTCACCCACTCTCTTATTATTTTCTGGAATTTCTAGGCTATTCACATTACATATGGATATGTTAGGGTTGTTTAATTTATTTTTATAATCTTCTTAAAATGATCATGATGTGCATCATGGGAATGATAATCCATCTCGTAAAGGTAAATCAAATATGCAAGAGGATTCAGATGGTCCAATGACAAGAGCGAGAGCGAAACAACTACAAAGGACCTTGACGAGTCAGATTGGAATGATTGAAGCTGCGTCGGAGTT